CAATAGAACATCCTTTCTTTTTTTTTTTTACTGCTGAGCAATATTCCATTGTAGAGATATACGATTTGCTTAAACATTCATCTGTCATTGGACATTTGTTTCCAGTTTGGAGGTTGTAAAGTTGCTAGAATATTCATCCACAATTCTTTGTGTGGAGAAAGCTTTGCATTTTTCTTGGTAAATATTTAAGCATGGGTAGGTCGTATGGTGGAGCTTTGGTAGTGCAGTAGCTAATGCATTCAGCTGTTAACTAAAAAGTCAGCAGTTCAAACCCACCAGCTGCTCCATGGGAGAAAAATGAGGCAGTCTGTTTTGTGGGGTTTTTTGGTTTTAGGTCATATGGTAGGCATATGTTTAACTTTTTAAGACACTGTCCAACTGTTTTTCAGTGATCATGATCATACCATTTTACATCCCCAAGAGCAGTGTATAAGAATCCAGTTGCTCCACTTCCTTATCAATACTTGGTATAGTCAATCTTTCAATGTTAGCCTTTCTAGTTGATCTATATTGATGCCTCATTTTGGTTTGAATTTGCATTTCCTTGTTTACTGATAATTTTGAGCATTTTTTAGTGTATTATTTTGCCATGAACAGGACTGTACAAATTTTTGGCCCATTTATAAACTGAGTTATTTGTCTCACTGAGTTGTAAGCATGATTTTATAGATTCATGTTATAAATCCTTTATCTGAGTTATATCTTGTAAATATTTTCTCCTACTCTGTGCCTTATGTTGTCATTTTCTTAAGTGTCTTTTGGAAAGCAGTTGTTTTAAATTGTGATAAAGTCCAATTTATTTTTTCATTTCTTTAATAGTTGGTGCTTTTTGTGTCCTATCTAAAAAACTTTACTGAACCCAAGTTCAACAAGATTTTCTTCTATGTTTTTCTCTAGAATTTTTATAAATAAACTCTTACAGAATTTAATTATAAAAATTCTAGACATCTATGATCTGTTTTAAATTAATTTTTATGTATGGTACAACATAAAGAATTAAGGATTTATTTCTGCATATGGCTACCCATTTGTTTAAGCACCATTTGTTGAACAGATTATATCTTCCTTCAATGAATTACCTTAGTATCTTTTGTCAAAAATCAATTGATCTTATTATGTTGCATTTATTTCTAAACTCTCCTTACTCTAGACCACACTACTTTGATTATTGTGGCTTCATAGTAAGTCTTAAAACCAGGCAGTTTAAGTTCTACAAATTGTTCTTTTGCAAATTTATATTTAGACTACTCTAGGTCTTCTGCAACAACAAAAGGTCCTCTGCATTTCCATATACATTTTAGGTTCATTCTGTCAATTACTACAACAAAGTCTGCTGGAAGTTTGACTGGGATTTCATTAAATCTATGGAATAGTTTCAGAAGAATTGAGATTTTAATACTGAATCTTTCTATCCAAAAGCACAATATACCTCTCCATTTGTTCAGATCAACTATTTCAACAACATTTTGTCGTTTTCAGTGAACAAGTCATGCATATTTTTATAAAATTTCCTCTCACAATTTCATATTTTGATGCTATTGTAAAATAGCATTTTTCTATTTCAATGTTCAATTGTTCGTTGCCACTATGTAGAATTACAATTGATTTTTGTTGTATACTGAATTGGATCTTGCAATCTCATTAAACTCACTTGTTGGTTTTGGGAGCATTTTTGTAGAAAGCTTAGAATTTTCTACAATCATTTGCCTGCCGATAAAGATAGCTTTACTTCTTCCTTTTCAATCTGTATGCATTTTACTTCTCTTAATTGCCACACTGCACTGACTAGGACCTCTAGCACAATGCAGAATAGAAGCAGAAAGAACAGACATCCTTGCTTATTCTTGATCTTGGTATCAGGGAATGCTAACCTCAGAGAATCAGTTAGGACATGTTCTCTTCTATTTGCTGAAAGAGTTTGTGTAGAGTTGGTATAAATTCTTCCTTAAATATATTATAGAATTCACCAGTAAAGTTATCTGGAACCTTGAGTTTATATACAGGTTTCTAACTACAACTCAGTAACTTTAGTAGGTATAAGGCTATTCGAGTTATTTATTTCTTGAGTAGCTTTGGTCATTTTTATCTTTCAAGGAACTTTTTCATTTCATCTGAATATAGCATTTAATGGTATAAAATTATTCATAATATTACCTATTACCCTTTTAATATCTGTAGGATCTGTAGTGATGTGCCCTCTCTCATTCCTAATATTGGTAATTTGTGTCTTTGTTTTTTAATTCTTGATCATTCTAGTTTAAAGTTTATCAGTTTAATTTCTTTTTTTTACCCCAAAGAACTAGCTTTTGGTTTCACTGATTTTTCTCTATTGTTTTTGTTTTTTATTTCACTGACTTTTGCTATCTTTACAATTTCCTTCCTTTTGCTTACAATGGGTTCAGTTTGCTCTCCTTTTCTAGTTTAAGATGGAAGCTTAGGTCTTTGATTTGAGATCTTTTTCTAATTTAGTGCTATATATATCAATTTAAGGACTTTAGCTGTATCTCAAACTTCATTAGATTTCATGTAGATTAAATGAGGTAACATATAACAGTCAAGTTACTAAACAAATATTTGAGTTCCTACTCCATTTCTGTGTTTGGTACTAGGAATGTACTGAATAAAATAGGTCTAACCGCTTTTCTCATCAAGTTTAGCAGGAACTATTGACAAAAATGATACTAAAATCAATGTTAATTATTATCTTATTGATACTTAAAAAGTACATTAAGCCAGAAAGCATAACAACTTTTTCTTTTTACACTGACAATGACATTATCTCTTATTTTATCTCTTCGCAAAGCCTAGCAGACACTAAGTGGCTAGGTTTTTCAAAGGTCAGAAATGTGCGTTCCAATTGCAACAAAGTAACAAAATATAGTGTGTAGTAAATTTGATTATTTCTTGCCTGTCTAAATAAACTACACATTTCAATGTAATACAGATTTGGTATATTTCTGTAAATCCAAACTTCAAGAGCACCTTTAGATCTACAAAAATGATTTTTAAAAAAAGCATTGCATATATTTCCAAAGTCACTTGATATTTCCTTAACAAAAAGAAACATTCTCTCCATTCTACTTACTTGATCCTCAGTTTCAAAATATCCAGAACTTTCAAAAAAAAAAAAAAAAACTTTGCCTCTTATGCAAACATAAATACATATAAATCATTGGTTTCAAGGTCATTTAAATGCTAACCTTACCTCCCACTCATGTTTTCCAAAACATCATGTATAATTAATTCAGACAACTATAAATATAGCAATTTTTTTTTAATAATTTACTTTAAACTCTTTGTTCATCCAGTGGGCACTAAGCAGCTCTGCACACCGCACCCACTCAGGTACCCTGGATCTTCCTATATTTCTGCTTCTTCCAGTGCTGCTCTCGTGGTCTTCATTCAGGACACTGCCTCTCAAACCTGGGCTGTACATTGGAATCACCCAGGGAGCCAAAAAGTACTGACGTAGGGATCCCACAGCCAGTCAGTCATATCTAAACTCTTTAAAAGTGCGGATTTTTAAAAGCTTCCCAGGTAATTCAGATGTGCAATCACCGTTTCACCAAGGGAGAAAAGGACCAGTCTTGGTGTGGTCAGGGAAGACATGCTTCTCATGGCCACAGGGCAATCTGCACCGCCACGCTGCAGAACCCACTTCCTCAAGAGTACATCTCCCCAGCCCACTTTTAAATCCCACAAAGTGTTAGTTAGGCTGAAGGGGAATTAGCTGCACATAATTTGATCATTATGGTTAAATAGGCATTATGCTTTTTGACTTCTATTTAAAAGAACAGGATAGCTCTACAAGCCATCTGTAATTTTAGAGCATATACAGTAAAAGTATCAATTCTCCAAAGTATAAAATACTTAAATGAGGCTTCACATTATACATCTGATTCTATCACTTGTTAATTTCAAACAGGTTTTCAATTCTGGTTTACATTCTGAGTTGGAAACTGACTCCAAAACTTGGAGCCATTAAAATACTGAGTCTTCCAATAGCTTACTCCATTATTTTACCAAACCAGACCACTATTATAATTATCAGTTCATCAGCTAACAGTGAGAACGAAAGCACCTGTGTCATAAAGACGACATGACGCTAAAGCATCTTAGCATTGTGCAGAGTACTTTAGAAATTTTAATCTATTTACAGCAGAAATTCTGCCTCATGGTAACTAAGTGAAAAGAAGAGGCAAGTGGGAATATGCGGGTAGCTACAGTCAATAGCAAGTGACAGGTGAGGCGCGTGCGGAGGTGGGAGTGGGAGGGTTGTCCACCAACTTCTGACTCTTCAGAGACCAAAAGCAGCATAAACCATGGTGCGGGCCTCACACCTTTCAGATTGTGACTAAATTGAAATTATACATTAGTTGAAAACATATGTAAACCTCCTTGGAAAACTGCTGAATAATGAAACTTTGCCAACATACAGACCCAGGCACTCCGATCTCTGCCAGTGTAATTTATATACCTATGGGATATAATGGATATGCATGCTGAAACACGTGTGCACGTCTGCGTGGCTGAACCAAGACGTATTCATAAACATCATGAATAATACCTGCGAGAATGTGTGGCTTTCTCCCAAGAAGCGCTTGAAGCATTTTATCCCAATCAAGTCACTTTCATATCACAACTTCTTTGCCTTTCCTGCGTATTACCCGCGTGCTAAGAGTTGGGGTTCCTCACTCAAAGTCGGGTAGGTCTTGAGTGACCGCCCCCGCCCCCTGTTCCCTTCCTGTCAGCCAGAGCTACCCTGAAAAAGGACCGTGTCCAGGCCGGCCTCCTGGTGACACACCTGCACCCGCACACACCCATCGCAGCCGCGTCACCGCTGCCGCGGCCACCTGGGCGAGCACCAAAATCTAGAGGGAATTCCCTCCGACGCTGAGCTCCGAAAGGCGGTGGGAAAGCGGTCCCTGAGAGAGTTTGAAAAGTGGAGGGAGCGAGAGGGGGCCGAATGGGCAGAAAAGGTGAGGGTCACGGCTACTCACCCAACCTTCGAAGGTGTCCGACGCGCCGGCTGTGCGCAGAAGCTCCTGGAATTGCAGGGTACAGTTGGCCACAAAGTGGTCGTAGCCCAGGGGCGTCTCGTGGAAGACCGCCAGCTCAAGGTGGCCGCCGTCGGTAACATTGGCGCAGAATTCCTCGTTGTACGTGGGTTTGTTGGTCTTCTGCTTGGTGCTGGTCTGGCCCACGCGCACCTGGTCCACACTCACCGTCAGGTAGGGGTCCAGCAGTTGGTGGCCCTTCTTGAAAAGTGAGTGGCGCAGGGACCAGCGGGTGGGCTGCAGCCCCACAGCCTCGCCGATGCGAACCCTCAAGTAACCATTGAACTTCATGGTGCCGGACGACATGCTGGCGCCGTTGCCCCGGCCCCGGGGGTCGCGCCGACTCGCGTCAGGAGAGCGGGGAGCCCCGGCTCAGGCCAGCCCTGGCAGCAGTTGCAGGAGTGGAGACAGCTCCGGGGAAAAGCAGCGCCCAAACCCCCCTCGACTGGCCATTCTGCCGCCTTCGCGGGACCTTCCCCCTCCCACTCTCCCTCCCTCCCTCCCTCGTTCCCGAGGTGGAAAGGAGGGGAGCCCGGCGCCAAGCCCTCAACCGGCAAAGGCAGCCCGACCGTCCCCGTCGAGCGCGCAGCCTTTCCCGGGGACTCGCGTGGGACTCGCCCCTTCTCCAGGGACTGGAAGCGCCTCTCCTCGGAGAGCTGGAGCGACCCGTCCAGTTAGCTTCAGCCCCAAACGTCTCTTGCCCCTGCCTCCTCCAGTTTCTCCTGCCCCCGCCTCCGCGGGCTCACGCTCTCCCCCACTCGGCGAGCTTCAAACCAGGAAGCAGCTGCCGCCGCATCCCCGGCGGGAGCCTAGCGCAGCCAGGCTACATACAAGTTCACAGAAACCCTGCCCAGGCTCCCGCGCCTTCCGGACCCCGGAGGCGTGGCGCCAGCCAGCAGCCCAGCTCTGTACTCAGTGCCAGGGCGCACGCCGCCTGGAAGACCTGCGTCTGCTGGTCTGCACCTCCCTGCGCGCGCTCCCTGCTGCGCGGGGTCTCACGGTGCCCGGAGAATACACACCACCCCAGGTGCAGGCCAAAAGGTGGAAGGGCTTGCGGCCCAACCGGAGCAAACACCTGGGACAAGTAAGACAGGCCAGGGGCAGGCTGGAAAGCTGGGAGGATGCGGAGGTGGAGCAAAAGCAGGGAACACGCGCAAGGAGGAGTCACAGGAGCGCTCCCTCCCACCTTTCGAAGTGGGTTGGCGACCCTGAGGGCCCATCCTGGAGAGTCCCTGGCTGGAGGCGGGCCCAAATTGGGGAGGTTCCTTTTCCTAATCTTTATGGTGATGGCTCATCCTGGGTTCAGTGCAGGCCCATCCTGTTTGTGCGCCTTTCCTTTTGTTGTTATGTGCCCATCCAGTCAGTTCATGTACAGCAGAACACTGCCCGGCCCTGGCCATCCTCACAGTCGGTTCTGTGTTTGAGCCCATTGCTGCAGCCACTGTGTCCACCCATCTCATTCAGGATCTTCCTCTTTTTTGCTGATCCTCTACCAAGTCTCCAGGGACTGGTTCCTCCTGATAATATGTCCAAGTACATGAGATAAAATCCCACCATCTTCCCTTCTACAGAGTCATTACAGGATTGGTTGGTTTGTTGTTGTATTTGTTTGTTTTTAATAGGGCTGTAGTAGTGATGGAAATCCTGTCTGCCTTCTTCCTCAGAAAGGCGTGTCTCGTTTCACAAAGCAGGAAAGGTCGGTTTTTCTGGAGACAGTGGCTGAGACTTAATAAGTCTCTTCCTCTGTGGAGTGGTTCCTGGTCCACTTGCATGGGGAGGGCAGAGAATGTTCACGCACACAATCTTTGACACACATGTGCCAAAGAAATCACCTTCTGATGAGAAAAAATCATGGTGGTTTCTGCTCACCAGACAAAGCAGACAACTGTTCCTTCCCACCTGTGACTTCTGCAGTTTTTGGACCCAGGAAGGCCTTTGCTGCTACTCTGCTCTGTGAACCACCACCCTGCCCCCACCCAGCCTTACACTAAAAAGCTTGCTCCCTAAAGGCAGCCACAATCAATGTGTCTGCCATGAAGCCTATGTCATTCTTAAGATAATTATATTCTGTTTGCCATTCTGGTTCCCTTGAAGCAAGCCTTTCCAATCCCCTCTTCACAGTGTCCTGTTGGGGGCTCTCAAACTAAGTAAATTCTTAACAATTTTATTCCAGTGAATAAAGGTCTCACAAGCAGTGAGTGTACAGTACAGAATGAAAACAAACGAGAACAATGGGTCAGGTGGGGGAAAGCCAATCTTAAAAGCACCAACGCTTCCTTAGGGAATAGGGCAGGGATGCACCACATCACTCTAATGACACCTTAGCTTTGCATGGGGCTTGTAAAGTGAGCTCCCAAACATCCAGGGAGCTCCTGTGTTTTCCCCAATTTTGTCAGTGTTTTCCTTGATCTGTCTCTCAATTCATTGGAGATACCTACATATAATTCTTTTGAATTCCTTATTAGGGAGTTCCAATGCTACATCTTCCTCAGGGATGTGTTTTGGGTCTGTATCCTGGTCTCTGGTCTCTCCTGCTTTTCTTGCTTCTTTGTGTAGACTGTGGTGCTCTGTTGTCTCCAAGGCATTTTGACATTTTTGTGTTTATATTTAATTGGTGATTGTATTTTGCAGTGACTTGCCCACAATGTTTGTTTTCTTTGTTTTGTTTGTATGTTATCTATGTAAGCAGGGTACTGTGCCGTGCTCCTCTATTCATTAGTTGACAGCACTTGTACACTCACCACCCGTCTCCTTTCCCGTTGTCAGCCTCCCATATATCCCTGCCGCCCTTGGCAAGCAGAGCCTATTCTTAGGTCCCTGGAATCTGAATGAGAATGCTGTCACTTTAACAAAACGGCTACCATTTGTAAAGATTCAAAATGGCTGTGCCCTTGGTCACTTTAAATATCCAAAATGGCTGCCACTTGTGAACAAACAAAATGGCTACACCCTCTGGACAGCGGAAAGTCCACAGCTCAAGTTGTCTCCTTCCTTGCTGTTTCCCTTCCTAGGCATAGGCCACCAGTGCAATGGTCCCCATAGCCTTTGGCAACCAGGGCTGATCTTTAGGTCAATTCTCAGGTCCCAACACCACTTGGAAATATCCAGGATATTGGTCCCATCAGAATAGCTGAAAATCCACTGCTCCAACCATCTCCGTACTCACTGTTTTTGTTCAGGTTTTTCCACTAGTTGGTGCCTAATCCACTTCTGCATAGTTCCTTTCAAAGTTCAGGGCTCCAGGATTATCTTCTGTATCTCTGTCAATTGGTTTCCCTTTTCTTTGTCAAAGAGGGTCTGTGTAGCATGTCTGCCTATTCCTCCATCTTACCAAAAGTCCAGATGTGTTAGTTTTTAGCAGTCTGTGGACTTTCAATATTCTTTGCCAACACAGCTCAAAAGCATCAACTCTTCTTCAGTCGTATTCATTCTCCAGCTCTCACATGTATATAAGGTGATTGAAAATACCATTGCCTGGGTTAGGTGCACCTTAGTCTTCAAGGAGACATCGCTACTCTTCATCACTTGAAAGAAGTCTTTTGCAGCAGATTTGCCTAATGCAATATATCATCTGATGTCTTGACTGCTGCCCCCATTGGTGTTGATTGCAGAAGCAAGTAATATGAAGTCTTTGATGACTTCAATTTTTTCTCCATTTATTGTGATACTGCTTATTGGTCCAGTTGTGAGAATTTTTGTTTTCTTTACACTGAGGTGTAATCCATACAGCACACTGTAGTCTTTAATCTTCATCAATAAGTGCTTCAATTCATCCTCACTTTCAGCAAGCAAAGTTGTGTCATTGCATAGCGCAGGTTGTTAATTAGTCTTCCTCCAATCCTGATGCCATGTTCTTCTTCATATAGTCCAGCTTCTTGAATTATTTGCTCAGTATACAGATTGAATGAATATGGTGAAAGGATGCAACCCTGACGCAGTCCCTTCTTGATTATAAACCACGTGATATCCCCTTTTTCTGTTTGAACGACAGCCTTCTGGTCTATGTACAGGTTCCTCATGAGCACAGTTAAGTGTTCTGGAATTCCCATTCTCCTCAGTGGTATCCATAATTTGTTATGATCCACACCATCAAATGCTTTTGCATAGTCAATAAAACACAAGTAAACATCTTTCTGGTATTGTTTTCTTTCAGCCAAGATCTATCTGACATCAGCTATGATATCCCTCATTCCATGTCCTCTTCTGAATCCAGCTTGCATTTCTTGAAGTTCTCTGTCAATATACTCTGCAACTGTTTTTGAATTATCTTCAGCAAGATTTTACTTGCATGTGATATTAATGATATTGTTTGATAATTTCCACATTCTGCGGGATCACCTTTCTTTGGAATGGGTACAAATATGATTCTCTTCCAGTCACTTGGCCAGGTAGCTGTCTTCCAAATCTCTTGGCATAGCTGAATGAATGCCCCAGTGAGGCATCCATTTGTTGAAACATCTCAATGGGTATTGTGTCAATTCCTGGACTCTTTCTCTTTTTTTTTTTTTTTTTTTTGCCAATTCCTTCAGTGCAGCTTCAACATCTTCCTTCAGCACCACTGGTTCTTGATCATATGCCACCTCCTGAAATAGATGAACATCAACCAATTCTTTTTGGTATAGTGACTCTGTGTATTCCTTCCATCTTCTTTTGATGTTTCCTGGATCATTCAATATATTCCCCATATAATATTTCAATATTGCAAAACCAAAATCCAAACTCCCTGCTGTTGAGTTGATTCAACTCATAGTGACCCCTCCTTGGGTTTCTGAGGTGGTCTCTCTACATAAGTGGATTGCTCGATCTTCCTTCTGAGGAGTGCCTGGTGAGTTTGAACTGCCAGCCTTCTGGTTAGCAGTCAAATGCCTTAGGCACTACACCACCAACTTGAGGCTTAAATATTTTCCTCAGTTCTTTCAGCTTGAGAAATGCTCAGCATGTTCTTCCCTTTTGGTTTTCTAACACCAGGTGTTTGCACATTTCATTATAATAATTGACTTTGTCTTCTTGAGCTGCTCTTTGCAATCTTCTGTTCAGCTCTTTTATCTTGTCATTTCTTCCATTTGCTTTAGCTACTCTCCATTCAAGGGCAGCTTTCAGAGTCTCTTCCAAGATCCATTTTGGTCTTTGCTTCCTTTCCTGTCTTTTTAATGACCTTTTGCTTTCTTCATGAATGATGTTCTTGATGTCAACCTGCAATTCCTCTGGTTTTCGGTCATTGGTGTTCAATGCATCAAATCTGTTCTTTAGATGGTCTCTAAATTCACAAAGGATAAAATCAAGATCATATTTTGGTACTCATGGACTTCTTTTAATTGTCTTCAGCTTCAACTTGAACTTGCATATGAGCAGTTGATGGTCTGTTCCACAATCAGCTCTTGGTCTTGTTTTCACTGAAGATACCGAGCTTCTCCATCACCTCTTGCCACAGATGTAGCCAATCTGATTCCTGTGTACTCCATCTGGTGAAGTCCACGTGTATAGCCACCATTTGTGTTGTTGAAAAAAGATATCTGCCATGAATTGGTCTTGCAAAATTCTATCATAGGATCTCCAACATCATTTCTATCACCTAGGCCGTATTTTTCAACTACCGGTGATTCTTCTTTGTTTCTAACTTTTGCATTCCAATCACCAGTGATAATTAACACATCTTGATTGCATGTTCAGTCAATTTCAGACTGCAGAAGTCGGTAAAAATCTTC